ACAGCATCATAGCTGAGGAGATTTTCATACTTTATATTTTTAAGAGAAAATTCCAGGCTTCCCATTGTGCACCCTAATATGCTACAAAAGGACCTGAGCCCATCCAACCTTGGTCCCAGTGTTTTGTATCATGGGGTGCCTGAGACCAATGCGCTGACTCCATGGAGTAACTGCTAAGGGCTGCTCTGGGGACCTGTGGGTCTTCCAGCAGCACCTGATTAATCCTTGCCCCTATCACTGAGTTTCTCTGGAAAGCAGGACAAACTGGTTGAACAAGGTCATCTGAGGCCCACAACAGTAATCTGCAAAGCATGACTAGGAAGTGGAGGTCTGTGTTGGTAACTGTGCTGACCCTTCCCTTGCCTGGCCAGTAGAGCTTCATAGTCCAGAACCGGTTGGGGCTGGACATCTTCCTTTAGCATACCTGGTGTTCTGAAAAGTTGTGCAAGTGTATTCCCCAGAGCTGCTCTGCCCACATAGGGCTGCAAGAGCCGGTGGGAGCTGCCCGCGCCAGCCTTCCCGCTGCCTCCTTGCCGGAGTCGAGCTGGACCACGCCCGGTGGGCAGCGGCAGCACCCCGCTGGTGTGCCCCGGCGCGCAGGTCTCCTCACGGCGGGGTGTGGGTGTGGAGGCTAGGATTAACGGGAGGGAAACGCAAAGGGTTTGGAACGCCTCCCTTTCCCCGCGAGCAGCCCTGGCTGTAGCACACACGTACCCTGAAGCCTCAAGGTGCCGGTGACGCCGGGCAAGGGGGAGCACCGTGCCCCTCCGTGAGCTGCAGCGAGCAAACACACAGCCGTGCACAGGAGAGATGGCTCCCGGCGGATACAGTCGCTGCTTTGCGCAGTTCTCAGGGTTGCATTGATTCCCCAGGACCAAAAGGCAGCATAAACCCAAAATACTTCTTCCTTCAAAAACATAGCGACTGCAAACGGCTGAACCCTCCAGCAGCGCTGTTCCAAGTGAGTGCCCCAGCCAGCCATCTGCTCCCCAGACACTGGAGAGCTCAAGCCTGTTCCACCACCCCAGGTCGAGGGCACAGGCTGGTGCTTCAGCCACCCTGTTGGGCACTGTACAGACCCCTCTGCTCCCTGGCAGCAGCACCCAGGGGCTCTCCCCAGGTCTAGGCTCTGCTGGAGACTGGCTTTCTGCCCAGCTATGGGGCTGCATCCCCCCCCCAGTTCCTGGCAGAGCACAGCAGCCTGACATTCATCTCTTCTCAGGGTTGAGAAGTATGAGCAGGGCTCAGTAGTGCAGAGTAGTGAGATGATCTTGTGGTGAAGCTACTTGTAGGTCGTGTCCTCAGCTCTGTAAAACATCCCTCATCTCAGACTCTGATGAGGCCTATGCTGCACAAGGCAGTGAACATACATGACAGCTCCTAGTTACCAAGACGGGACCTGCAACAAGTCCCCAAACCTCATGTGCCTCAGTAGGCCTGCAGTCTTGTAGCTTGGTGAAGCCAGCCTTACTTTCAGGATGAGAAGGATTTGGAAATGGAATGTTTTCCTGGGTTGCAACAGTGTCCCAAGGAGGAGCAGGACACTGGAGCACCCATTGGTGCTGGACTGAGGAAGTAGGTGAATCTAGAAGATGGTGAGGAGGCTGCTTCTCCTCAAATTATGTATTTTAGATTTAGAGATAACATATAAAGCCTTAGGAGCAAACAAGCAGCCAGCAGAATAAAATTAATGCATTGGCCGACTGATGACAGAGACTGAAGCTGGCTGTTTGTGAGCCACAGGCAACCTTCTCAAGCACGAGTGGGTTTAGAAGCACTGCAGCATGGGGTGCACCTGCAGCGCAAAGTCTGGAGCAGGACAGTGCAGGTGCATGGCCTGTTGCCACCAGACGGCCACCATGGAACATGCACATAGATCTGGCTCAAAGGCTTGCTGCTCTGGGGATCAACCAAGGGCTGGGGCGGTGAGCCTGCTCTTACAAGCTGGAAGCAAATTTCGGATTAAAGCATTCAAGAGCCAGTTTTGACCATAAACTTGTGATCAAGCACAAAAGGGAAAAGGTACTTGAACTCACCTCTTGCCACATCTGGAATACTGCCAGCACCTTTCCTCTCTACTCCACCTAGCTACCTCCCAACCCAGCCTATTCTGCCTCTTCCCCTTTCCAGAGGGGAGGAAGGCTGGTCCCACATGGCCCTTTTGCAATTACCTTAAACTGCCAACTTCTGACTTGACTCCCTCAGGGGCACTTTGCTCCTCAATTCCTTCCACTGCCCTCTCACTCCTCAGAAGCCTGTTTAGATCTCACTTGGAGCACTGATCTCCCTTCCCACCATCAGAGGCTGGAAATCTGGGGCAGGTCAGAAGACAGCCTCTTACTCTAAGGTCTCTACAGAACTGCATCTCTATCCCCTGTGTGTTCCCCACTTCCAGGGCAGGAGAGGGGTTCCAGTGTCATACTGCAGGCAGAGGCTACGCTGGCTGGTGAGTCTGGTATATACACAGGGTCTCCAGGAATGTTTCACCCATCTTCTGAGCTGGGACTCCCACCGTGTTGCAGGTCTTACTACTTCCCCAGGCACACAGTAGACTGCCTCCCAGCTTTGCACATCAGCAGAGGTGTTAGCCTGCTCTTTAGTTGCCTCCATTCCTTCTTGTTTGAACAGTCACACAGGGCCATGATGCCATAGGATGCCTGAAGGGGAATTCAGGGGCAAGTGGAAGTTGAAACCACTTTTGCAAATTGGTCACCTCTCCCATTTAGGCTCTCAAAGGCCAACAGTCTACCCAGCTCTAAGAGAACTGTATCATTTGAAAGCCACATAAGGCACTTAAAATGTTTTTTCAGTGGCCATGTCTAGCCAACAACCACAACCAACAGCAAGCAAAAATCCCAAAGAGCTTGGTGGATGCAGCTCTTGGCACATTTCTCAGATAATGCATTCCAGTTGCCACTGAAGAGCACTACAAACAGGAGCCATATCCTTTCCCCACTCCTCTGTGGATCTGGTGTAGTCAGGAGAAAAAATGAGTACAGATGCGTTTGAAGCCCTGAGGTCAGCAGATTCCCCCCCAACAAGGAAGATAAACATCCATGCTGCTGCCAGCCCCAATCACAACAGGAAAAAGATATCAAACATCCTCCCCTGATTCTACCTTAAGGCCATGTAACACCAGAAAGATACAAGCAACACATTCTTGTATCCACTCAGTTTCTACTGCAATTCCTTGCTTTGCCCATGCCAAGGCCTTGGCCTTCCATGCATGGTACAGGTCAAGACCCTCCCTCTAAATAGGTCCTGGTTTTGCTTTTATACACAAATTGCCTGGGTCACTAATCGTGCCATGGCTCTGGGAGATACCCAGAGAAAAACAACTAACTGACACTATTTATTCCTTCTGCAAAAACATACAAATTTATTTCCTAATCTACTATGGTAGGTTGTAAGTAGTTATCTTCATACACACATTTCAAAATTATACTGGTGAATGACCACATGAGTTGCCAACCCACTCTTCACATATTTCTAACGCCTGGACTAGGTATCTCTTCCTCAAAGGTCAGGAAATGGTCATCAAGTGTCTGTGTAGATGAAAGCCTACCTGCAGAGTTGGATCAGAAATACTATCTTCCCCCCTTCCTCCTGTTTGCAATTTAATTTCCTTCCTACCACTCCCATCACTAATCATACAAGACACCTTTTACAAAAGCAAAGAACTTACAAACTCTACCTTACTGCAGTTTCCAGATAAGCTAGGATATTCCAGATAAGTAAAACACCAGTGATTTCATTTTCCTTGAGAGCATGTGTCTCAGGTAAAAATATCAGGGACCGTAAGAGGCCAAGGAAAGTGAACACATCCTTTTCTGAAAGCAGTCCTTTCCAGTCAGAAGCAGTGAATGCAGAGAAGACATACTTTTCTTATCAGGTTGATCTTCACCTACCAGCCCTTGAAAAAAAACAAGGAAAAAATCCCAAATCAAACAATCAAGGTTTAGGTCAAAAAATGGGAGAGGCATGAAGAAAGCTATCCTCATGGTCAAATCTTACTTACTCTAGACTCTACTTCTTCCCATGAGAAAAAGAAAACTAAATTCTGATTATTTTGTGGTTGTTGCCAACCCCAAAGTAACAGACAAAGCAAGGTCTGAGTGTCTGTGGCTGACTACTAGTTCTCAGGACTTGTCCCCCTACCTGAAAGAACTCAACCTACAGCCATTATAGGAGAAATGCAAAATCTTGCTAAGTTTTTGAAATCAATTAATCCAGAAAATAAAAGTGGGGAATTGTATAACTGTTACCAGCACACCTAACAGTTAACACATGGGAAATGCACAGCAAGAACTTAATTCTAAAAGGTGATCAGCTGCTTTAGTGTCTATGAACTTCAATGAAAACTGCAGGTGTAATGCTGGCAGTTGAGGTGTACAGCACACAATACGCTATCTAGAGAACAAAATTACTGAATCTCAGCATAGTGGAATATACATTTTATTTCTTAAAAAGGAAGGGTACTAACAGAATTTAATACAGTCAAAATTTTACATTTTAAACAAAAGCTTTTTTTCTTTTTCCTTAAAAACCAGTTACGAGCAGAGAGGTGAGAAGATTTAAATTACTCACAAAATCCAAGCTGAAGACTTTGAGAATTCAAATCTGTGGTTTATACATTTAAAAAAGTGTAATAAATGGAAATATAAAATAATACCAACTCTGCAACAGTGAAATGCCCTTTCCTCATCAGATTGCTGTTTAAGCACCTTTATTTTCACCCATCAGCTGCCAGGAGTGTGTAGGTTTATGTACAAAATAAGCAGTTTGGGACAAAAGATTCATATATAAATTAAAACCATTTATGGCAACACAGTTTTACCCAGCCGCTTTACAATCTTTATAATCTCTTTCACTTCTATAGAATCTTTCAGTCAGGATGATCTCAAATGCACTTGATGGACTGCTTCAAAAAGCAGTTACATTTACAGGAAATACATAGACAATCTCAAGGAGTAGATATCCAAGAGATTAAACAACTTAACATGCAGTAAAACTAAGATCAGATTTATAATCCATCCATCCATCCATCCCACTGAATGAATGGGACAGATCGGTGTCACATCTGAAGCCGAAAAAATACTTTTATCCAAGAGGCAACAGAATTTCAGGCCAAATATAGCAGATAGGAGTTCCCTCAAACTATTTAGTTAAAAACTATCTCTGAACAAGCTTTACAGGAACAGAGTTTTCTGAATAACTTGCACATATATTTAGTTGTTTCATAGCTATTTCACAGCTTAGAGACACAAAAAAAAAAAAAAAAAAAAAAAAGAAGAAAGATATGCCACCATCTCTGCCCACTACAGAAGATGTTGTGGCTTTGTCATTTATGCAAGATGCAGATGCAGCTGTTACCAGAGAGAACACTGCTCCAGTACAGCATTAAAGACAAAGAAGTTACATTATGGCTGAAGAAAGTGTCATCACAGGCTAATCTCTTTGGATGAAGGCTGATGGATCAATCTCACCTCCTCCTCAAAACCCAAGTGTTCATATTTCCTAGCAGACTGCTCATGATTCTCACTCCACTGTTTTGATTTTTTCTTTTAACATGAGATAGAAAAGGTCATGAAAGCTGATGAAAGTTCCAACTGTGCAGCATCCAGTGAACACATACTCAGCAAAACCTCAAGTCATTAATCACTTTCTCCACACCACAACAGGATACCTGCATCATCTATGTACATAATAGAACTAATAAACATGTAGACTATCTAGATTACAAATGAGCATCAGTAACAGTCACTCACTGTTTCTTTGCAACTTCCTGCAGTCTGGCTGAAGGGTGGAGACAGATTTATTTGAGCCAAGAATGAATAGTTTAAAAAAAACCCAAAAAACACTTTAGTTTTCCTCAATCACTAAACTTTACAAATAATTTAATATCGCCACTTTCCAAATCGCTACTCACAAAAAACAGATCAACTGTCCAGCTAATGGGATGGGAAGAGTACAATTATGAATGTAATCAGTGACTACTGTTAAAGAAAGACTGGAAGAGAATCAATTCCCTCAAATTCTCAGTTTCTCTGCTTAAGTAGCTCATTATTAATTTTAAAACATGTTTTGTTGATAGAAAGCATCACAACTAGGCTAGATTCCACAACATCAATCTTTGTTTTGATTTCTGTAGTTCTCTAGGAAAAAAATAATCCCAAATCAAGCTACATGAAGCATTAACAATATTCAGATATTACAATGGAAGCACTTATTTATTACTTCATAGAACAGATTAGTTTTAAAAGTGTATTTACATGTTCTAAGTTATACAAAATACAGTATTCCAATAATCAGGTTAATCACCATATTTCAGACAACTTCACATAAAAGTGCAGAGGATGCATCCATCCATGATCCTGGCCAGTAGCAAGCAGCCATCTGCAGCATGACAGATGAAAGCTGCTATTGTGACCCCTCAGGAAAACAAATCCCACCATACCTTCTCACTAAAACATAGCTGCAGATCTAAGAAAACATTCAGGCAGGTACACAAGCAAAGTTTGTTGAGACCCACAGACCAAAATCACATGCCTTAATTTACTAGACATATGTGAAGTACATTTTTTTTTTTTTACAGATGTTGTACAGCAAAGGGCTTCTGCTCATGCCTTAATTGGGAAAATGAAGTAACGAGGGTTTTAGCTATGTAACAGGCACCCAATTTACACTTAATATCAACAGCCTTATTAACTACAACTGATTGTGTGTTAAGGACACAATTCTGCATCTGACTGCCTGGGCAGAGCTTCATATTCAAGAACAGATCCCATGAAGTCCACATGGTTCTCTACAGATACAAGGCTCATTCCATGCAGAAGTGACAACAGAATTGAGGCCTTAAAATAATGGGACCTCAGATAGTAATTTCTTCACAACACAGCACTATCAGTTCACATCGGCAGGTCAAGTCCTAGTGCAACAGTGCACTTAGTTAAAGCAATAGCTATTTTTTCATGCCTTTCTGCAGTAACTCTCCTCCCTGTCTGTATATTCCTTTCACTTTTTTCCAGACTGTGGAAATGAGATCAAGAAAAGGAAATTCCCCCAAATCTAAACAAGTACATATTTTTTGTATGCTGCTAAACGGAGGAGAACCAAATTGTTTTAAAATTGTAAACAGTGAGGCTTCAGTTTCAGCAATCTGGCTGAGGTCAGCCTCTTGAATTACTCTTCCTGTTTTCATTCTTTACTCTCCTTGCCAAGTATGTTTACCTATACTGTATGTATATCTTCCTCAAAGGATTTCCTTTCTCCTGTAGCTGCTTGAACTTCAAGAAGTTTGCATTCCAAAAGTGACTCACTAGGGAATAGCACACTATCAACTAACAAAATACATTCTGTATGATAAATTTGCATTATCATGAATTAAGTAATTGTAATTTCTCAATTAGTGTTATGTTATCATCTCCACAGAACTTTAGTTAAGTCGATTCTTTCTACCTCTTTCCCAGTCTTTCATCGTGAGTTTATCTATCTTCACCATGTTACAGTGGCAGATATACAGACCAGAGTAATTATTTGAAAATCTAGAAAGTTAGCCAGCGTCTTGTAGTGCTGCAAAAGCAAAACACTAGCATTAACAAGTGATTTTGCTGTTTAGGGATTTAAGATGTAGGTTGCCAAAAATGTGAGATTTACACATTAAGACAAATTTGCATTTCTCATCTTGTGCTCAGCAGCTAAAACCATACAGGTGAAGAAAAGCCTATCTGGATTTTACAAAGGTCCACAATACCTCCACTCTCACTAAAAATGAAGGCATCTGATCACAAGGAACAAAGCCTTGTTATGCTGAAAAGGCTTACAAGGTTGAAGCAGCAATATTCTCTTCTGTGCAAGTCCATTATTTCTGCCGTCTACACAAAAATATTTTTCCACAAAGTGGTTTTATTACAGTATTCCAAAAGCTGCTGGCCTTCCACTGCACCTCCTAACTTGAAATGAATTTGGTACAATCAGTAGCAGTCTTGCAGATAACACTGAAAGTGATTTCTACAGCTAAAACACCTTGGGCTTTCAAACAGCACAGCAGGGAAATGAATTGTCAGAAAAGACATAAAACATTACTAGAAGAACTGCAAAAAGCCACGTATCTTTTTCTTTTAAAAAATATTTCTTCTCCCAGTGCAAGTTTATAGTACACTACTTTTTCACCTGTCCACACAGGGCAAAATTCAGACTATCTGAATATCACTAACTGTGTTAATGAACAAGCAAACAAATTACCAAAATTACACCTGCAATCCGCAATATATCCGCCTGGATCCCAGCACAGAATTCTCCAGAGTAAAGCAAAGACACCCTGGACTCCAGTGCTTGCTAAAACTTTATGATACCCATGTGAGAGTAAAGACTTTTTCCTGTGAGAGTTAGAGATTTTTGTTACTAGCTTCAGTGGGAGCAGATCTTGACAACAGGTGAAAGATTAAGCTTCTGGGGCTTTTGTATTTTTAAATACAAAACACATTATTATAAGGAGATATAACTACATGTAGATTAAAAGACCATGTATGAAAGCAGTAATGCATTAAATGTTGTGCATCATTATTCTGTAGAATAAGACAACACTCACTGTCCACAAACCTCATCAACAGTTTTCAAAGTTAGTACTGTGAAATGGCTGTTTGGTGTCAATCCACTTCCTAATGAACGTACAGCTGTGTCAAAAACTGCTCCCTCTACTGGCAATCCCTGCAGTGATGCTGAAAGGTGCACTCCCTTTAATTCTCTCCCATTGGAGATGGTCCCTTTATGGCTGGAATGGGGTACATTGGCATCAGGCACACTTATGGCCTCTACAGAGCATGTTTCAAGGCTAGAGAACTTCAGACTCTAACAGTGTCAATTCAGCGACTTTTAATGTTCAAATTGAGCTAAAAGAATATTGGTCGTCTTATAACCGCTGTGAAAATGTACCCAAATTATCACTTACAGATTGTCAAACTAGTCAAAGAAATAAGATTATATAGTTAATAGTTCTGAGAGGAACAGAGAGCTCTGAAGCAGTAAGCTTAACTTCCTGAGACTGCCAAAACTGAGAAAGGAATTCAGCATTGCACATAATTTTTTGTCTGGCAATACCTACACTCCTTTAAATAGTTACTACCTTCTTATTTATCTTTAAAGATGTTGCTCCTTAACAAAAGAAATTTTCCAGCTACAAAAATCGTACTCACCCTAAAGTGCGATTTTCCAGTTTTGCAACCCGTAGACACATGAATCACAGAATGTGCAAATTTGCACTGTCCTACAAGGAAGCACAAGAGTTTGCTAACAGTCTTCTCTGAAAGAAAGATCTAATGAACATTCACTGTTAGTTTCCATTGTGTAAGCTTTTAACACAACAGAAAAATCTAATAGAATTGCACGTACTAATCTCACCAAGCATTTGGCTGTTAAAATATGACATAATGAAAAACCAAATCCTGTATACAGTATGTAAGTATTTAGAAAATATTCCTAAAGCAGTAAGACAGCAAGACCCAAATGAAGGATTAGCAACTCCTTGCCCAGTTACAATACTCTTTAGCTTTGTGATTTGAACAGGAAGCATGACTTCCAAGAATAGCCATTCAAAGCTAACAAATTTTTGAAATAACAACTGCAAAAAGTGTTCACAGAATCCTAGAATAGTTTGGGTTGGAAGGGACCCTAAAGATCACTTAGTTCCAACCCCCTGCCATGGGCAGGGACACCTTCCACTAGACCAGGTTGCTCAAAGCCCCGTCCAACCTGGCCTTGAACACTGCCAAGGAGGGGGCAGCCACAGCTTCTCTGGGCAACCTGTGCCAGTGTCCCACCACCCTCACAGCAAAGAATGAAGTTGCTACATTTACATGCTGTCAGGGCTGTTTGGGTTTTTTTGTTTTGGTGGCTTTTTTTAATTGTTTTGGGTTTTTTTTCGGGGGTGTGTTTGGGGGTTTGTTGGTTTTTTGTTTGTTGGGGTTTTTTTTTTAAATCCATGGTTTGGCCTTTATCACCAAAATAAAACAACAACAAAAACTAGTACATACCAAAGATATCAGTCCAAATCAGCAATACTTAATGCAGATAGAGATACATGCTGACATTTCAGCAACATGGAGCTACACTATTAATTTGTTGGAAGAGAATACCTCAAGATTATCTCAGAGCTTTAGAATCCAAAATTATAATAATACAGTCATATATATATATATATATATAAAAAACTTTTTTGCTGGTTACAAAAGTAAAAGCACTCTCTTGACTTCAGAACACGGTCCATTAAAAATAATAGGTCAATAACAGCATCTAATGTATATGCTCTTTACAAAGGTTATGCCTTCAATATACTGGTTATGAATTCTGGGGTTTAAGATTTTTTTTATTATTTTTTAAAACTAAGTTTACAACATTAAGTTCTTTCCAACTTTTTCTCTTTGCCCTTCTGCTCTGAAATCAGGGGTGGAATCTCTTGGGTAAATGCAAAGTCAAAATACTTGTTCAACATAATAGTGTTGAGCTTTGCTGGTAACTAGTTGTGCCTCAATTTCAGCACTTGTGCTTCTCAAAGCTTTCAAGATTATTTTTCTTGAGGTGTATGCTGTTTATCAATCTCCAGGCATGAATAAACTCCTCTCTTATAAGCTCCACTTTGGCTACAAGCATGGTCCCTGTACTACCTTGCCAGAAATTAAGTAGTCTTCTTCTCACACAAATTTAGCTCTTAAGCTTCCTTAACATAAGAGTAGATTCTTGTTATGCTGATGAAACTCTTACAAAAGGAACTTCCACCTACTTCCTCCATCTTCTACAACAATAAACATCCCCGCAATCTGTCCAAGCTTTCATCTACTCTCCCACACCAGCACAAGGGTCTTGGGACTTAAACTGCCCATTTAAACTGAGGGAAATCATTGGCTGTTTCCGTTAATCTGTTTTATAAAACTAAATACTCTTTCACCACCACAGTTCTCATGTAGTCAAGAGGCAGAAAATTGTAATATGGCAGCTAATAGCCATTGTTTTGCTGGAGTGAATACTCATTTCATAGTTTCAGACTGCCAAAAGCCATGGGAATCAGCAGCTCAGACTAGCACCTTTTCCATGATTGCTAAATCATTAACAGAAGTATAGATCTTGTTTCAGCAAGACACCATAAAAGAAAGTGAGCCTTGTAAAAGAAACAAAGGAATCTGCAAGTTATAGCAGTGTAGCTGTGGAGCAGGAAAGCAAACGAAGTGTTTTACTATTACATGGGTGATTCGATAGAGGTTCATTACTACTCTTTGTATGGCACACTGTGGTGCTTTCTGGATTGTTTCAATACATCTGCTGTACTTTTCTGCACTGGAAATCTCACACATCACAGACTGCTGTTTTCCTGGTATCTTTAATTCTGCATTCACAGTACTCCACAAGATGCCACACTGTAACAGAAATGAGCTGCAGTATTAGATAAAATTCATTCTACTGCAGAGAAAAGTCTTAAAATATAGCAGTTCTTAATATATACACTTTCATTTAAAACTCCCTATTTTCTTCTGCTCAAGTGCCAAAACAAAGAGTCACTATTCACACAGGCTGTCAACAGACTTTGAGACATGAACTTTGAGTGTCTTGACAAAACCCCAATAAGTAAGCTTACTGTAGTTCATAGTTACAGTGAGAAAGACAGATAAGAAAGCCATATACATAATTAAGGAGACTTTGCACTTTTCATCATGCCCAGCCCTGGGTAGTTCAGATGGGGTACTTGCAGGCAAGCAGGCAGGCAGGGTCATCGTCAGTTGTTTGTGTTGGGACACATCATAGATTTCACTGCTCACTCTGAAGACTGGCGATTCATGTGTGCTTTTTAGTTTCTTTGTTTTTAAAAGTCTTTAAAGTTGCATCACTCGGAATCAGATAAGTCACTTTAAACAAAGCAAAGTGTTAAGTGTGACAATTTATTTATAACATACTTCCCACCATCACCACCACACACCACCCTGTGAAAGAAAAACCCCTGCTGAAAGGGTGACAATTTTTAGTATGTTTGAAAGAAATTAGACCAACACTGCATCAAGAGCCATTCTAGTCAAATTAAATGCATAACAGAAGGGGAGATAGTTCAAAGCATACATTTACTTGAAGTGTTCTGAATTAGACTGCTTCTCTACTTCCTTAAAAAGTCAACACACAATTGGTCTAAACTCAATTTCCACATTATGTGTAAAAGACAAGCCAGGCAAGAATTCTTTAGTATAGAAAAGAAACCTCAATGGCTTTTTAATATACTTTTCAGATTTCAATAGGGGAACTGGAAACTAGCCTAAACATCTATCCCACATTTACTCCCTAATATAAATATTAGCCCAGGAAGTGTAGCCTGAGTTCTGACACAGCCACTATCTTAAGATGGATTCTCTTGTTAAGAGGACTTCTAGACATATACTTCTGTGAAAGCTTCTGGTTCTTGCAGTTGTAGGTCATGTAGAAGGTCCCAACATCACACACAACATGTTTTTTATTTTAACACAGCATACTGTTGAAGCAGCGCTTGGTGCTGAGAATGGATTATTTCCAAGAGGGCAAGTCTTGTGTGCTAATTTTGTAACAGGAAACATGCTGGAGAGAGAACCAGCAGGCATGGAGAGACTAGATATGCTGCTACACGGGAGACAGTGAGGTAAATTGTTCATGTTTAGAGTGGGTGTAGCTTGTTCCATAGAGTGTTCATGAGACAAAGGACCAAAACTCTTTCTCAAGCTCTTGTACAACAGGTAAGGTGCAGTAAAGTAACAGTGGCTTTTTTGCTTCCTAAAAAAAACCCCCTTCTTCCAAAGCACAAGGTACTGGCAACTCCTTAACAGATAGGACTCAAGGTTCAGCCTTATGAGCCAGACCTCTTTTTCTAAATCTCCCTTACTTCTCAGTTAAGCGTAACATGCTGCTCTACCAGCAGTTCAAGAGGGAAGTCCCTCTAAGGAAAAAAAGGAATGGTGGTGGTAGAAATACAGCCTAAAACCCACAGGAAATTATTTTATCTATATCTGTAAAGTGAGAGATCCCCTACTGTTCTTTCCATGGTTTCTGGAAGTTATCCAGGGGTAGAACCTACCAAGATGTTAGAGCAGTATTTTAATCAACACTGCACTGACTCTGGTCTGTATAACACTTCTGCATTAACCTCCAGATACCTCTGTTTTTACCAGAGACTGAATATTTTCCTGTCTTCCTGTCCTAAAGATTCCCCTATTCCTCTTCAACAGGAATAGAGTTCTATATAACAGGTACTTTCTAGTGCCTCTGAATGGGAGAGGAAACACGTTCATGATGCTGCCCAGCAACATCTACTTATATCTTAAAATTATGTTTTACAATTTGACTGGGAGGGGTTGGCAGGGTGGAGAGGGAGGAAAGAGCAGGAGTTTAAAAAAAAAACAAAGGAGAGTCTCCTAGGCTCTTTCCCCACTTAAAACGGAGATTAGAACAGATAGCAAAAGCCCTGTCCAGTCAGGAAGGATCCACATCTACTCCTCCAGACAGGTGTATCTGTTCTATCATATGACATCAGAAAATGCTCTATCAATGTTACAAATAAAGTTGTAAATCTGGACACTAATATTTTGGGCAACACAATGATCAGGAAAGGGTCTGAACAAGTTGTGCCAACAGAAACGGGGTTCAGGGTTTTTTTTGTGTAAATGTAAAATGGCAAAGCCTCCACAAACTTTATTTCTGGGAGTCTCTACAGAAGGCAGAGGAGTCTAAGAGGCTAAAACAAGGAGCCCTAAGAAGGAAAAGGGGTGTGCTTACAAGGGTCCGTATCTGGTCTCGTATTTAGAAACAATGTTCTTGCATCGTCCCACTTCCTTGCGCAGCTCTGCAACCTCCGTCCTCAGGGCTGTATTCTCTTTCTCAAGAAAGGCTGCCCGAATTGTGATCTGATTCTCCTTTAATCGCCGAGCGTCACGGGAACGCTTTGCTGCCACATTGTTCTTCTTTCGCCTTGTCCAGTATTTTTCATCCTGTAGCAAGAAAGAAAAAAAAAAAGCCAACCTGACAACTACATCAAACAGACATCTCTTTATTGTATAATGACATTCACACTGACTGCGATATTGAAGAATCTCTTCATTAGTTTGCAGGACTCTGATACCAAAATGCAGGCAAGACAGTACTGTGAGATTTCATCCTTACACGAGTCTTGTTTCAGGATAAACCCAGTGCACTGCTAGAACTAGTGAGTTTAAGAGACCTGGCTACTAAGAAGCTGTCCAACTGAAATGCTCCCTGTACTTAGTTTCAATTTGGGAATGAACTTCCACAGGAAACAACCTGTTCTGTTGTCTGGGCTGCTTAAAGCTGGATCAGACATAGTGCTGGGCAAATATATACAATGGCCTTCAAAAGTGCAATTGTTGAGGATGTGACTTGATAGTTCTACTACTAATTTCTCTGTATAGCATGATAAGTTGCTCCTGCTCAGAAATTATCTCATGATACCAAACCAGCAAAACAGCAAGAACAGCAGTTGACTTGCCAATTCTATTCTTGGCAGTGCTTCTGCCCAGTCACGTAGGTATAGCGCATTAGCTTTATGTGTCAAAATGTTTGGGCAAAGAGTCAGAAACTTTGATCAAGGCCTAGAGAAGTTTGTAGCAATAGATCTGTTACCTTTTGCTCATCTGGGACAAAAACCTTCTTGGCTTTTTTAATCATTGGTTGTGGTTTCAGGTCCTCTTCAGTAAACTTGTGCTTGCGAGGATTGAAGAGCTCACCTCCAGGCACACTGGACAGCACTAAATCAGCAGGGTCAGGGTTAAAATTCACCTCAACTTCTACGCAGTCAGGATCAATGGGACTAGGAGTATTTCTCTCATTTTGTGGTGGGGACTCTGGCAACAACAGAAGTTATAATACATTCAGCAGGATGAAGAGAATTAACTAAGAAGCTAACTTGGGTATCTCTATTGCCCTACTATGGGCAATATTTACTAGTATTATTTGGTATTTCCCTAAGGTGTACTTGGTGCTGTACAGCTGCAGGTACAGAGAGAAGCTACACAGTCCGGATCGTAATACAAACTCTAGGAACGTATGCCAGACTAACAGACATGAGTAGACAGATGCAGAACAAGAGGTAATACTTTCTCAGCAAAAACAATGAGGTTGCACTCTTAAGAAGTGCCTTCCACAGCCATAACAAGTGAGAAACTTGTATCAGCCTGAGCTTTGTGCCATAGAAAGCCTTAAGGAAACAATCCTGCCCAAAGACCCTGGTCTCTGGGTCTGTCAGAAGGTCAGACAACTGTATTTCCAAAGGACTAAATAAAAGTGAGTTGGTTGCAAATGCAACAGTATTCTACTTCTATGCCACATGGGAACAAATGTCCCAACAGATTGTCTGACACTGACAGTGTTCATACGAACTTTGTCTATTTATCTACTGTTTACAAACTTCATACACACATGCATTGCAAATGTCAGTAATTTGAATTAGTGATCAATTAGTAATTTTTTTCATATACTACCTACAAAAAGCCAAGCCCTATGTCTCACTGAAGGAATTCCACATTTTGCCTTTCTCTCACAGATTCACGGAAAAGGCCTTGAGCGAAACACTTTCTGTAAAGTCTGCTCATAAAATAGTACTGTGAAAGTTTAGTGGCTATCATGTTTAAACTCCAAATCTAAGGCAAGCTGAGCTGCTAAGTTCTTTTAAGAGAGAAGATCTCCATACTACAAATGAAGAGTTGAAGTTTCCTAGTACCATTCAAGTACAGTTTTGTTTCTTTGTCCCCCATTCCCGTTTCAAAGCATCACAGAACATCAAATTGCATCATTAAACACACCTTTTCCAAGTGTCTGTTCTCACATTCCACAGGCTAGCATGAAGACTGCTTCACTGTTTTTCTATTAAGCATTGTTATTTGAGGTACATTAAGTTAGCATAAATTCACCCAAGCAGATCAAGCCACCAAGGTAGCACAAATGACTTGTCACAAACTAAAACAACCTGTGAAACTATTTTGTCAACATGTCCAGCTTTTCACTAGACTAGCAATATCAAGAAAGCAAATACTTTATGTTGGTGTTTCAGCTCTTCTAATTTCAAAAGAAAACCAGGCTGCACACTAAGGGACACTCACTCATTTCTTCCAGGAGGGAGAGAGGGGAAGAAGAGGCAGCATCTTCATGAATTAACACATGGACTAAGACTCTACACTGAGCACACTTGTGCTACTTAACCAGCCACAGCTAACATTGACAGGTTAGCATGTCTCCTCTTTGATCTAAAGAGGCACCTTTTAATACAAGAACAACAGAAGTCCCTCAGAGCCCCATATTATTCCCTCTACCTGTGCTGGAGGCTGCTTCCGATTGCTGATAAACTGCAGTGGAAGAGGATGATGCAGGAGAACCAGTGGAAGCACTGGCAGGCTCCTTTCCTTCCAGCTCAGCCACAGGCAAGAGTGGATTCCGGTTCAAATCCAGGTGAGTAGGGCTGGAAGGAATTCCATTCTCCAGCAGGAACTCATCCAGATCCATGTACTCCAGGTGGAAAGACTCGCCATCATAAGGAATAGTTTTGTCCCAAATGGGTGGCATAAGGGAAGCCGAGACTGCCATAGTGCTGGCAGCTGCTGCCTCATCTTCCTCAAGCTTTATCTTCTCTTTCTCTTTATCTGAAAGATACAAGTAGGTCACTGTACAAGCTGCAACACAGGAGACTCCAGGTTTAAGAGTCTAACAAAAATCCCCCTGAAAGGAAATTCAATAAGCTGTATTTCTGCCTCATGACTTGATCTGAAAAGTCAGATGTTGAAAGGCCACATTCACACATTCATATGTAATTCAGCATGGAATGTTCTGGCTCCCCATGACTGGCCAGACCACAGACATCTGAGTAGCCTTTGAAGACCAGCATCTTTGCTGCGATAACTTACCAACGTGTGATGTAATAATGCATCTAGCTTATTGTTACCTAGTCACTGCAAAATAGCATGGTCTTCACAGGCTCATCTTGGACAACAGCAAAAGTGCGCGTCCATAAGCAGGATTACATGGGAAGCTGTTATGAAAACTCTGAGGAAGCAGAGTAGTTTATTCTGTGCACAAAGAAAGAAGGTGTAGAAAAATAATCTAGATATAAACAAGAAAGGAATATGGGGTTTCAGATTACATTTGAAAATTAGTCAAAAGGTCCACAGGACACCAGAGACCTGGATGTCTATTGTTCAGTATTTTAGAAGCATTTATTTCTGAAATGACTCAGCATGTCCACACAAAGAAATAGCTCCAAATGCTGTTCACTATAGATAGCTCAAGAGTACCTACATACAATTTTCACTCTTTGGGGACATGTCTAATAAGGCATATTCCCACCCCCAAGCCACAAAAGACCGATTAAATTTTCTCCATTTACTGTGCTACAGTGCACATATTACAGAAAAAACGGCTCTATGCTCCCCATAGCTACTGAATCTTAACAATTGTCTGGGACAGAATCCAAGCAGAAAACTCAAGTTATGGAATAATTACATAATCTAAGAGATAAAAATAAGCTGGCAGAAAAGAAAAAAAAAAATCCAAGTCATTTTCCTGATCCAGTTCTCCATGTAGCCATGCAGTTCTACCAGCTCTGAAGGAGACATTGCAGAAACAGTGCTAGCTAGCACTGCTGTCAGAAGGAATGGTCACCAGTTGTCATACCGTAACCAACTGCAAATTGGGTCTTAGCATGGAACCTGGCAAATATTCAGCTCAGTGGAACAAGGACTCCAGGAACATATACAGGACCAGTTTGGATCTCCAGTATTCACACAGGTTAGCCCAACAAAATGCACACGTCTTTGGCATTAGGGTTTTCTAGACTGCCTACAATATGCTAAATGAGTATTTTCCTTTATTGGGGGTGGGAGTGGGGGTGAAGCTCTGCTCTAAATCAGAAAAGCCTATTTATATAAAACCTATTCTGATAGAACTGGCATTCCTTCCGCTGTTGCCTTAGCTGGTGTGGAACTGAGACTGAAAGAGCTTTTTATGGCTTAAAGAACAGTGCTGCCATACAAAGTAAATTATCATTTTAATCTACCATACTGTGAACACTTTATACAAAAGAAGATACCAATTTTAAACTAAACAGCTGAGAAAATATTCACCAGCCACTAACGTGGGACTAAGAGCAAGTGCCTAAAGAACATGCTAAATTCAGACCAGTGAATTCTGGACCTCAGCTTTGTTAACATCATCTTGCAGCTTTTGGCCTTCCCCTTGCCACTTTACATTACTGCCTCTGCACTGCCATCTCCCAACTCCCATCTCTCCTATAAACTCCCTTTTACTGGAAGTTTTGCAACCTTCCTACTCTTTGCTTGGGCAAAGCAAATGTGCAGGTTAACAGTCATGATCCAAATAACCGGAATGTTTCTAAACAGCTCCTACTTGAAGCTAGTAAAGAAACAGCATCCACTCTACTTCACATATAAGGATGATTTTACTTACTATTGAAGCACACCCACCAAACTGGAACCACAATTTTACATCTAACTTGTGAATCAGGGATTGTGCATTTCCCCAAGGTTTGCACCAGTGCCCAGTACAACCGAACCAACCCAGATTTAGACTGGGGGTCGTGGATGATATCCTAGTAAAGACATCACCAAAACAAATGCAAGTGACAGTCATGAATTCTTTGTAAATCACTTTATTTTATAATCAACATGATAAAAACCACTTGTGAATGTTGAGTCAAAATGTCAACTAAAAAGAAAAAAAATTAAATCATTCTTTACTCTTGAAAACAGTATTCCATTATAAGTAACACCAGTTTTAATGCAAGCCAGCATTGCTTTTGTTTAGCAACATCTAATACAACACCTTCAAAGAAAAGAAACCTTAAGTGATTAGTAGACTAAACATAAGGCTTAAAAATATTTTTCAGAAGATAGATGCCAAAAAGACTATACTATGGACATATGTGGTTCTTCTCAGATCTTTTAATGCTGATTAGATGTGATATACTTGTAGATCCTGCTGTACTTCAGTAACCTGAAGACTGTTGTCTGTCCAACTTCCTTTCGCTATGGTCCCTGGCTTCCCTCACAGAAGAAGGCCATCTTAATGTTTTGTTCTTTTGCTACAAGTTGACAACCGGCAAGCACTGGGTGCCCAGTGCTTTGCTCAGCTATGCTGTCTCTCTCTCCTCCCCTCACTAACAGCAATATCTGAAACAAATTAAAATAGCAGAAGTTAACATACATATTGGGTGCCCATGTATTTCAAACATGATATATAAAAAGATAAAATTGTTCTATGATCATTTTTGCATTGACATTTTCCCACTAGCTTTCTTCCAATTAATTTAAATTTTATTTCTGCTGCACAACATCCTGCTAGGTACACAATATCTAATGAAACGCTAATTAACTTCTTGCATCTTGAGGGGGAAGTTTCTGCCCGCCCCAGCACAGGGACCTGAAACATTAATTCTCTTAAGATATTTATAGTGTAAACAGGTATTACCCGACAGCAGAGCTGCAGTATCCTAAGAGGCTCCATTTGCAGTGATTCAAGGTCACCCTGATAAATCTGGACTGTACTTCTGCAGCTCATAGCTCCTGTCCAATTTAGCCCCCTCATTCTGCTACTGTGACCTATTAACTAGGCTGTGCATCTGCTGTTAACAGAGAGGTCACTGGTTTATGCTAACTAATTCAGGCAAAGCATTCCAGGTCTTGAACTGTTGGAAATAATGCTGTTTTAGCCAAAAGCAGCAGCTTGGAGAGAGCCTGATTCCACATCCTGGTTTTTCCTCAAACCCCAACAAACCAACCAAATCCAGACCAAAATACATTTTGGCCACAACTGTCAAGTGCTCTCCCAACCACAAACAGAACAAATACTTCTTTGACAAAGTTCCCCTTGTTCATCAAAAAATATTGTCAAATTATACTGAAAACACTACACACAATAAGGCTGATTGCTCCATAAATCTTCAGTTCAACTTGTGACAATGAAATGAGACAGGTTATAGGGTTCTGTATTCCCGATGCCCATTACTGTGATGTTTGTTGAGGCATTCCTCCTGCCACAGCAGCGCACGACTGGTGATTAAGGCATCCTTTGGAGAGCATGCAGCAGCTCGTTATAAATAGGAGAGACCTACACTCCTGCTCCAGAATATTAATTCTCTTCCCTTACCCCCCAGGACTTTTTATAAAAAGATTATTTTCATTTATTTAATCGCTACAATGTACACAACAACAACCTACAGCAAGGCAGGTCAGATATACTTGGTATATGGCAGGGCATTCAAGATGATGGCATTCAGTTGAAACTGGATGTCCTCTGTTGCTCAGAAGGATTAGAAAGCCTGCTTGCTTACTGGGTAGTCAAATTACCTACAGCAGTTGGAAAACCCACAGGTAGCTTGTGGAGACTATAAATGGACACTGCAGCTAGCTGATACCATTTCTCACTGAATAAGGCAGAAAACTGTACTTTTGTCGACAGGCATTCCAGACAAAAGGCATAGCAACTTTTTTCAGAAAGCTCGCTGAAAAACACTGTATTAAGTAAATTAGTAATTAGTTAACATTTTGGTTGTGTCACTATAATGGAAAGGAATAGAAAATAAACAAGGATCTTCTGAAGTCGGTTGAGTCACAATTTCACTGACAAGTCTTTTGTAAAATTAGGAGTGAACTACCTCCTAAGAGAGAAGTTCTTTCTTTTGTCTTGCAAATATGCAAACAAGAAAAGTATCAGAGAGCAAAACAAGCAGAAAGCAACAAGTTCCACGAAGTGTGAAGTAAAACAATACAAGGTAGACTAAGGAAATCTATGTAGAAGTTTAAGAATGAGAACCATGTGAACATTATAACAGCATGAATGGAGAGGGGTAATCAAGATGCAATGGACTCACTAGCAAGCTTTACAGAATCAAGCCGAAAACCTTCCCAAACTGGAATAAGGTCATCAAGTAAAAGCATCGAATGTTTCTAAATTTAGAAAAATGCACTGCTTCAAAATTGTATTAATTTTAAAGTTCTACATCTCCATAGGCCAGATCACATGATTCTGGCCAAGTAAACCACCCCTAAGACAAAGTTGCCATATCTCAGTCAGCTACCATTATAGTTTCCACAGATGAACTTAAATTCCTCCTGCTACACTACTGTCTTTAAAAGGATTGGGTGCAGAAATACCTTAAGAAATAGCATAATGTTGTAGATCCAAGATTCTTACGTATTGCAGCATCCTGCGCCATAGCAACATAACTAAAACCTTTGTCAGAGGTTGACTTTTTTTTTTTTTTTTTTAACAGAAAGGAGACAAAAATTTGCCGAATCACAAGATGGATACATTTACACAGTATTGTGCAATGTTAGACATGCAAAATAAATGGATCTTAACTAGAACCCTCACTGGGAACAATCTTGCCAACCTTGTTTGCACCGTGGTGTACCCTGGATATTGTCCGATGTTTCAAAAATGATTCTCAACCTCGAAATTCCTAAATGTGAGGACTTATTTTATTATATACACCAGTACACTGGGCATTACAGTGGTGCAGATATACCTGTGCCTTCCTCAAAATCAAACTGATACTGAGAAAGGCAAAAATACTGCCAGGAGGAAAAAAAAAAAAAAGTGTGCCATCATCAATGAAGACTATAAGCACCAGCACTGTTATTTACACAGCTGCTGTCTGCATAATCAGTGGGAGAAAGCTCTAGCCTATACAGGATCGCATGTGCAGGCAGTCATATCCTTATGGATTATAACAAAACCTAATCTGAAGAGATTTGCTGTTTGCGCCTGTCACCGTACAATTTTTCAACAATTAAAGCCAAGGAAGACTCGAAACCTTTTAATTGCCGTTCCCAACTATGTGTCTAAAGGTAGGGGAGGCTTCAGCCAGCCAAGGGAATAAAACCAGCGTGTCACGTCCAGACTTCTACCCACCCCTCGTACCTGCAGCATTTTATTTTGCCCAGTGCGGGCATCTAAATACACTCGAATGGACGATCGCACCTTCTGAGTTTTCCAGTCGCACCGGCTCGCCGAGGAGACTTAGCCCGCGGGCGGCCGCCGCTGCCCTCCGCCTCTGAGGCGGGGAGCC